CAGAGCAATCAGAGAAGAGAAGGAAATAAAGGGCATCCGGATTGGAAAAGATGAAGTCAAACTGTCCCTGTTTGCAGATGATATGATCCTATGTATCAAACAGCCTAAAGTCTCTACAAAAAAGCTTTTAAAGTTGATAAATGATTTCAGCAAAGTTGCAGGATACAAAATCAACACACAAAAATCAGTAGCATTTCCATACTCCAACAGTGAACATGCAGAAAAAGAAATCAAGAAAGCTAGCCCATTTATAGTAGCCACCAAAAACAAAAAACAAAACAAAAAAACTTAGGAATAAAGTTAACCAAGGATGGGAAAAATCTCTATAATGAGAACTACAAACCACTGTTGTGAGAAATTAGAGAGGACACAAGAAGATGGAAAGATATCCCATGCTCTTTGATTGGAAGAATTAACATTGTGAAAATGTCCATATTACCCAAAGTGATCTACAGATTCAGTGCAATCCCTAGCAGAATTTCAATGACATTTTTCTCAGAAATGGAAAAAACTATCCAGACATTTATAAGAAATAACAAAAGACCACACAGCCAACGCAATCCTGAGCAAAAAATAAATAAATAAAAATAAAGCTGGAGGCATAACACTACCTGACTTTTAGCTATATAACACAGATATAATAATCAAAACAGCATGGTACTGGCATAAAAACAGACACACTGACCAATGGAATAGAATAGAGAATCCAGAAATCAACCCACACACCTACAACCATCTGTTCTTTGACAAAGGCATCAACTCCACACACTGGGGAAGAGTCTGCCTCTTCAACAAATGGTGCTGGGAAAACTGGATATTCATATGTAGGAGAATGAAACTAGACTAATACCTCTCACCGTATACTAAAATCAACTGAAAATGTATTAAAAAATTAAATATACATCCTGAAACAATAAAACTCCTTAAAGAAAACATAGGGGATACACTCCAGGAAGTAGGAGTGGGCACAGACTTCATGAATAGGACCCCCAAAGCACAGGCAACTAAAGGTAAAATAAACAAATGGGATTACATCAAACTAAAAAGCTTCTGCACAGCAAAATAAACCATCACCAGAGTGAAAAGACAACCAATGGAGTGGGAGAAAATATTTGCAAAATATACTAATATCCAGAATACACAAGGAACTCAACTTTACAGCAAAACAAACAAACAAACAAACAAACAAACAAAAACACAAAAAAATCCCAACAACAAATAACCCAATTAAAAAAATGGGCAAAGCAGGGCCGGCCCAGTGGTGCACTGCTACAGTGCGCTGCTTGGGAGCGTGGCGGCGCTCCCGCCGAGGGTTCAGATCCCACATACA